AACAGAAGGATGCGAAGCCCGAGGAGAAGAAGCAGGAAGAGGTGAAGAAAGATCATGCACCAGAGAAGAAGGAAGACCAGAAGGGTGAGAAGGTTAAGGATAAGAAGGACCCAAAGGTCAAAGGTAAGGAGGAGGATGAGGAGAATCAAGTAGCTAAGAAGGAGAAGGAATCAAAGCGGGAGGAAGCCAGGAAAAGGGCCCACGCTACATACATGAGGTTCTCTCGAGGTGTTCGGAGTGCGGGACTCATGTGCATACAGGCCAACACATGTCCTAAAAGCAAATAGCCTACTGAGGCAACAAAGACACACCTCCAGAGATCAAGCGCATGGGGAAGGCAGCGCACTACCGTCGTTGCCTCATGAGCTAGTTCTCGTTGAATTTGTATTAGTTTGTTTACTTCGATGATTTAGGTAAGGACCTCCTGGCAACACTGTACGAAGCTTGGCATGAGTGTGCAGGAAAATGGACAAAGAGTAATTTGTACTTGTCTGTCAAGTGCAAAGACAAGAGCAAACGACGCGGTGTGAGACGATGGATGTTCTATAAAGAAATGGTGGAACGATTCACTGCAGCAGGGGCTGAGTCGATTGTTCAGCACAAGCGTTCTGAGCCTGATCTAGCAGAGAAAGAGATTCGATACTTCCCGGACGCCCCTCAGTCTGAGGAGCGGGTGTGCTGTTTTCACTCGTGGAGTTTGGGGGCGTAACTCATATTGCACCGAGTCACCATGCAGGACCTTCTTCAATACTTAGTGCTCGATACTGAGATGGAGGTTACCGAGCACGAAGAGACTGTATCGCAGCTGTATGCCGCGGCGGAAGGGAGTGATTCAGAATCTGAGCAGGTCGATACCTCTTCTAGTGAGTCAAATTCAGGGGACACGAGCTCACGTTCTGGCAAGAGAAACCGTTCCAAAGAAAAGAAGTCTAAGCAAAAGAAAGAGCAGAAGGACTTCCCCACTGATCTACTTCCATTCGCTTTGTGCAAACAGCTTAAACTGTATAATATTAACAAGTACACTAGCGGCGTTTCTGGTTCTTCCATGTTGCACAGGACAGTGCCAAGAAGGACAAGAAGAAAAAGACTAAGAACAGCCAGAACAAAAACAAGAATAAGAACAAGAATAAGAACAAGAAAAAGGAGAAGAAAGACAAGAAGGAAAAGGACCAAAAAGAAGAGAACACAGAAAAGAAAGAAAAGGAATTGGCAAAGGAACACACCAAGCAAGCAAAGAAGGCTTGACTTTGTTTTTTTCACCGGTTTCCCACTGCCTCACTCGTCGACATGTCCAGGCCATCGACGCAGCCGGCCGCAAGATCAAGGATTCGATCACAGCCTTGGAAAACGCCAACAACTTGTACATGACTCAGAGAATGGCGGGATTTCAATATTAAATATCACCAAAATTGTCAAGCTGTAAAACTCTAAGGCAGGAAAACCTCCGGGTTGCTATCACGGGTGACATCAAGGCTAGCAGCGTGATAAAAGAACCTACTAATTAACCTAAACTTGATATTTGGTCGTGCAAAGGCTGCCGTTGCCGGCATTCAGAAATCCCGTGAAGCTTTGCAGAGGGCCCTGGATCAAAATTTGGCCAGGCTCTCAGCCTCCCCAACCATCACCAAACAAGGAACTTGATAATGGTTGTACTCCAAACCCCGACAAATAAATTATGAATCTTTGTTGTTGGTCTTGTGTCAGGTCAAGGATTTGGATGGCCTGACAAGGCAGCTGACCACCTTCGGCGAGAACTATGAGGAAGCCGCAAAGCTGGCAAAACCCAAAAAAGCCCGGAAGAGCTAGATCCTCTCAGCTATGGTTCTCCTTTTGGTTTTGCAAAGATGGGTTCTTTGCATTCTAGTTAGGTCGCTGGGTGTGTCTTAGCTGCTTCCCCATCAAAGACCACACGATATAGCTAGATTGATCAAACATAGCAGCCTAGCGTCTGATTTAATTTATAGATCGACAATCAATGCTTGCCACGTTCCTTCCGACTCCACCTGGTCCTTCGGGGGGGCACGGCACACTCGGCTACTAAGTTTTGCATCTGAGAGGCGGTGCAGTCAGTCAAGAGCTGCTGCGCCAAAAGCATGGCAAACCGCACAGCGATCGATGCATCGATTGAGTTTGCACATGAAAGCTTTTAAAGCATTCGATGGATGTCTGAGAATAAAAGTTACATGCGCATGCATGCAGCTTAGAGTTTTATTCCATTCACAGTTTCATTCACTTATGACAAGCAAGCTTGTACAACTTGCTTGATTAAAGCTTTTTTCAATTCGGAACCTGTGTCATCGCCACGCGCAGATTCCGACACGAGCAGCGAGCAAAATGACTTCTCGGAAGATATGATCTCCAGAGTTACTGAGCAGGCATGTGCACTCACACTTGCACTCACATGCATGCGCTCCGCTTGTTCAATTTATGTTGAAAGTCTCCGTGTGTGTGTACACGCTCGGAGGCTCACAGTGTCCAGTCAGTGGTGAAGTCAGCTGCAGCTAGTTCAAAGGAGTCTATAACTGTGCATGCATGTGCATTTGTCAGCTTTCTCCCATCATATTACACTAATCACGTGTGCGACGCGGTGCAGGAATTCAAGAACCTCGGGGATGTCGGCGAGACCGTGTCCAAGCTGGCCGCTAGCAGCAAAACGCGGAATGCTTCTCGAGATTTTTGGCGCCGATGGACTTTACCATTAGAGCCCAACCCGTGCACCAAGTCAATGTTTGATATATTGTACGTACTTGTTCAACTTCTTTTTTTAAATTGGTGTTGAGCTGAAGGAGTTTCAACAAACACTCGACCTAAGGAACCTGCTATGATAGAACTCCCAGTCATTGACCAAAGTGACCCTTTGAAAGTAACCAGCATGGCCTTTCCCTACCTGAAGCCTCACGAAGTGCTGCGATACATGTACGAGGATGTAGGTGCCAAGACACCCCGTGCTCACATTGATTTCTACTGGAAGTGGTCAAGGCACTTTGGGTGCAAGTTTGCGACGCTGGGTGACGAGACTGTGATTCCTTGTGGGCTCTATGGCGATGAAGCCAAGTACAATGAAGGGCCTCCACAGGAGAAGATCATAGGGATTTATCTAAATTTTGTTCTCTTCCGGCCCGCCAGCATTCGCCGATCACGGTTCTTGATTTTTTCCCTCAGATCTTGCTACAACTTGGGCCCTCATACACTTTATCCACTGTTCTGGAAACTTGTGGAGAGTCTGCATTTTGCCTTTTTGGGAAAGTGGCCTGACGGGAGTCAACTGTGTTCAGATGGCTCCCGGTTCATGATTACAGAACTCCGTGGAGACCTGGCTTGGCGCAAGGCCGTTTGGCAATTTGAGGAGCGGGGCTGGCAATCAGCCGATGTTTGCTTTTTTTGCCAAGCTCAGTCCAAAGGGCACGTTTGTCCGTATACGATGCTAGGGCCCGAAGCAGATTGGGCACAAACCGAATTCAAAGACCCTTGGCTTTGGGCTGGTGAAGTACTGCCAAACAGGCTTTGCCCTTGGTTGGGTCTGCCAGGGTTTTCGATAGACACTGTCCGCATGTGCACCATGCACAACGTCAACCTTGGATTGATGCAAACGGCGAATGGTAGCAGTTTGTCCCTTACCTCGACAGGTAACTTTTCTCAGTCTTGGGATGTGGTAGGTTAGTTTTGTTCAGGGGACTTTCGATGGGACCAAAATTGCTGGTCAATGGTTCTATGATTCACGCACTAAGTTGTGTGGTGTGGTGAAGGATCAATTTGATTCAGAATGGGCTGTACGGCGATCCCACAGATCCAATGGATCAGAACCTCAAGAGACTCTTTGCAGACTTTGATGCCTGGTCCAAAGAGAACAAAGTTCCACACAGCCAAAGGTGTTTCACTTTGGGCATGGCATCTAGGCCACAGCAAGAGCACGGTTCAAACTTCAAGCCTTTCCTTTTTTTGGGGGGGTGGCTGTTTTTCCTCCAAAATCACATCTTTGTCCTGATGTCTTGTGCTGGGTCCTGACCCCACTGGCCAATAAGGTGATAAAACAGAACAACAACGTGGTCCTCACACACAAGGCATACACTGGGCGTGTACTTTGCGCTTACTCTGCGGAAGTGTCCAAACTCGCGGCGGAGAAGCGATTGGATGTTGTAGGGCCACGGCGAATTTTTGGCAAATGGCTCAAAGACCAGGTTCAGAACGGCGGATTGCAAAGCTATTTGAATGATCCGAAGCTTCCGTTGCAGTCTGCTTGCATGCCCGCTGGTTTGCAACAGCTAGCATTTCTTTCAGGGTCCAGGGTTCCAGGGTTCGTTTGATAAGAGTTTACAAGTCAATAGTGTTCAAGCTAGATAGGTTTTAATTGTGTTCCTCGACCTACCAACGACTCAAGCTCTATGAGGTCAGCTGGCGAAAGGTGGTTTGGCCTGGTTGAGCGATCTGGGCGATATTTGCAACTCGCTTTGCGCTAGCTAGGTAGGCTCTATGTGCTAGATCATTGTTTCTACATAAGACGCGCGTGCCCACAAAATGCTCAGGTCACGCCAGGAGGCCAAAGACATCTTTGACGCGGGACAGTCATTCTGCAAAGGCCATATTTGCCTTTCATGGATCCACATTAGGCCTGGTTCTGTGAAACTTTGGTCATGTGTTCGTTGCACGTTTGGGAATCCAAATTGTTTGATGTTTGTGCCCTGTGGAGGGAGCAACGTGACTTACAGGCCAGGGGAATTTTTTCTCCAATTCAGTGGCTCGTAAAGCCCAAACTGCATAGTTTTGATCACCAATTGATCACAAGCCTGGCAACCAGGACGAACAGTCGATTTACACACTGTTTCACCGACGAGGATTCCATGAAATGGATCAAGTCGCTGTGTGTGCGGCATCCCTCTGTGCATCTTGAAAGATTTCTGATACGATGTTCACAGATGAGGATGACAATTAGCGTGAGAAACATGCGAAGCATGAGATTCACCAGTTCGCGGAGGTCTAAGAGATAACTCTGCAATATATCATGTGTCATGTGCACACATGACAAGTGCTTTGGCGAAAGGACCCGTCGAAAATGAGTGCTTACATGAACGCACTTCAAACCCGGGTGCTTTGGAAGCCTTGGGTATATATTATTATCTATGATTTTGATCTACTGTTTCAGTGGCTGGAATCTCCAGTATGATCCTGCAGAGTGTTATTGAATTTCTACCCTTTTGGTGGTGTTAGGTGGTCTACTTACTGAGCTCCCCAGCGAACCTTCAGCCTCCCCAGCGAAGGGCTGTTGGGCAGTCCGATCATCTGAAGACACCGACAAGGCTTGATACAGAAAGCCCGGAGACCCACAACGACTTGAGATATCTGGACCCAAATGGCAGGGATGTCGGCGTACGAGTCGTAGACGTTAAGCATCATTTCTCCACCAAAACGCTGCTCGTAGTCCTTCATGAGCTTCATCATTATCCCGCTGTCACCGGTGTTCCACACGCAGCTCCGCTCAACTCACACGGTTTCCCTTCCGCGGTCCGAACGGACCGGGTGACGATTTCCGCGTTCGGTTCGGTTCTAGGATGTCCACAAGTACGCTCAGCAGACGGCCTCCTTCAATGAACTCTGGATCATCGATGTGGATGCGCCAATGAAGGAGTGCAAACTCAAGCTGGAACTCATGGACTGGGACTCTGTGACCGGTGCGGAGCCTGGGATCGAAGGAGATGACAGCGATGAACACAGGTCTCGGAAATGGAGGGTTGGGCAGGGCCCTAACAGGTTTCAATTGGTGACCTGTTGGAGGGTGCTGATATATTACTATATTGTTTAATTGGATTTTGGGATTTTGATGGATTTTGTGACTTGATTTCTCACGTACTTCGACATGTTTACCGGGTTTCACCCTCTCACGTTCTCCGTGAGGGAGAAATGTTTTCACACCCATTTGCATGTCTATTTTTTGTCTTGGAAACCCAATGAGTGTTGCATGAACTATTCACGTGGGGGTTATTCGGGATATACTGGGTGGACCTACTGTGACCTACTTTGCCTTTGAAGATCTTTGGAGTGACGTGTTGCTATCAACCTCTCTGCAAACAGTGAATGAACGTGTGAAATATAGTAGGATCCACAGTGGGTGGTTAGTGGACACCCCTTATGACCTCTAAGCGGCTACCAGTCTCCGATGACCTTTTAGACATCAGCACACGCGTTGAGTGCTTTGGGTCAAGAAAGCATTCGTGCATTCGACCACCACAAAGAATGGATGGTGAGAAAATACCCCGGGGTGCGAGGAGAACATGGTCATGTTCATGTCAGATTCTCTACACTAACAGTTCATGTAAATCTCTACCTCTGCTCCTCCTACACATCAGCTGATTTTCGTGACATCCCTGGTATCTCAGAACTCACCCATAGACCAACTTTCTGTCAGCAACTCTTCCTTCGAATCCCTGGGCAGATCTCCTTCCGCACGGTACAGCACGCAGCACGCACCACATGGTACGCGCCACATGGCCGGTTCGGCGCGTCGTCGACCGGTGGAACACGCAGACCGACGACGCCGAGGATCTCATCTATGCTTCCAAGACCTTGGCCTTGGAGCCGCTGGTGACCGCGGCCTACTGGGCCAAGGTCTTGAAACGCCCCGAGCCCGGCGAGGTGGACCACCAGGCGGGTGGAGAGCGGAAAAAGGCGGTTGGGATGAGGATTCGGACGAAGGGGTGGTGGAAGGAGAGGGTGAGGATGGTTGGATGAAGATGCCATTTGATGGGGAAGTCAGGCAAAAGTACTTTTGCAACCGATTCGCATATAGCGAAATTCTCTTCATTTCTATTCTCCCCGAAGTCGCACGCCACTTCAGTTCTGGGTCCCGGGTCCTGGCGACGGTACCGGGTCCGGCTTTTCACCTGCTTGTGTTGACGCTGTCCTGCTTCGTGGCCCAGGTGGTCTTCGATTGCTTTCCTCCAGACCATCCAGGCGGACTGCCCACCTTGAGATGACTTGATGATGTGGATGTGGAGATTCATTCTGGTGTTTATCGGTGGTTGGATTTTCTGCGAACAAAGATATACTGTTTTTGTATACAGACTTACAGACGTGCTTTACGTCTTCTTCTGGTGCTTCCTGCAGATGTCCTGCATCGGGAGCCTTGTGGGTACGGGCCGGAACTGTCCCAAGGGTCGGACGTCCACACGGAAGCAGTGCACAAGCAGGGCAGCTGCCGGGGTTTGGATGGGCGATCCAGGCAAATTGTCAAAGAGTGAAGGAGACACTCTTGTGGACCTGTTGGATTGAGACACCTCTTCCTATGGAAAATTTTCATCAAGAGTCTTCCAAGAACCATCGATCTATTGACCATCCCATAACCGTCCCTTGCACCACTGCTTGGCCAACTCTTTCATGCGGTACACCTAGATCTTCCAACTAGGCAACATCTATCAACACCTGCAATATTCCTGCCTGTTGGATCCTCTTGGCTGGTATTTTTAGACGAACAGGCAGAATTGTTGAACGGTTGGACACTCCACAAACGGCACTTGTGAAGCAGGCCACCACGAGGGCTGCGGCCGCTGCTGTCGCCGCTTCTGCCACTGTCTCTGCTTTTGCTGCCGGCGCAACTGCTGCCGACCACCGCCGACACAGCCTAACCCAGCGACCCTCTTCACGAGCATCGAAGTGGTCTTTCGAGAAGAGGCCCCTGGGAACGCACCACACCAAAAGGGGGTTTGCAAATGAGTCGCTCTCTGCAGGAAAGGGAACAATATGGAATATATAAAAAGTAGATTCCGCTAGTTCGTTGAAGGACAGCTCGTATTACAGCTTTCAACCAACAATTAGTGCAGTTTCAGCACATTCAATCTCGGTGGAAACTCCGTTGGCCATTTCCAGGTTCGTTCGGCAAGTTCGGCTCGTCAGACCGACCTTCCCCTTCCCTACCGCACTCACCGACTTGGGGCGAACCTCAGGCTTGGACGCCTCCGAGCTCCGAGCACTTCATGGAGCCCAAGGGACGGGTGGACTTGAAGGAGCTCATGGTGAGGCCGGTGATGGCGTGGTCGCCACGCCGCGGCGCTTTGGTCGTCCCTTTGTTCTCGGGGTTCCCCTGCCTTCGGAAAAAAGGGGGGGTTCCACCGGCCAAAAAAATGGGGTTCCACCGGGACGTTTTGTTGGGCCTTAAAGACGACTCTGGCGTTTGGGGAGTGATCTAGAAACAGCCCGAGAGGGTCGATGTTGGAAGATCTTAGATGCATCCAGCTCACTTTTAAGATCTTTTAAGAAGAGCATATATAGAAGACCCAATGCGCATGCACACGGTGTCGTTGACGTGAGGTTTCTCGTGTTCAGCATGTCCACAACGCGGCGGTGTTCGATGACTGGCGGTCTTCAGGGGCTAAAAGCCCGGTGGTTTTTGCAAAGATGTGCGGGAAACTCGAGGGACCATTGCATTTTGGACATTACCACGTCCGAAGAATTCTTTTGGTATGAGGGAGCTTAGAAAGACTTCCTTGACTTGAAGAGGTTCAGAAGTACTGAACTGTGTCATTTGAAGCAGTTTCTGGCCTCCCCAAATGCTACAGCTGTCGGACCAGCACTGGAACCCCAGAAGCAAACCCTGTCGGATGGATCTAACCCGGTCGCTGGTCGCCGCTGGTCGCCCTTTCCCCGGAGGATTGGGGGGTCTTCGAGTCCGTTTTAAGGCTCCTCGCTGGGTGCCCAAAGGAGCACAGATACTGTTAGAAATGAATGGAGAATCAGACTCTTGCAGCAAATGGCCCGAAGATGGTCCAGTATACTCAGTACTCTTGACAGTATGATGTTAGCCTTAGCCAGCAGGCTTGGATGATCATTTTACAGCAGGTGCATTTAGCACTGAGTTCCCGATTCATGAGGTGGGCATTGGCCTTCCAGTACTGTTCTCCTGTCCTGGTCCACACCCGCCACTCGGAGGCCGCACAAAGCCATGCGGATCATGTTGGGCCCTCGTAATCTGAAGGCGCAGCACTGATGACGGGTGGGCCTGGGAGGGGCCCAGGGGGCTAAGCTCTAGATACTTCAAGGTAGGACGATACGGTATCCGGTAGATGACTGCTCAGGGGAATGCACCGTGAGATATATTAAGAAAAGAGTGAAATCCCCACTTTTTCCAGCTTGGCCAATAGGTCCAGTGTTGCCACGCTTTGGTCAACAGTGCTGGTTGAGTGGACACCCGAAGGAGCGACGAATGAGCAGCGGATGTTGGTTCTTTTTCTTTCTCTGCTCGGTCGTCACCGATCGTGGCCATCCAATGAATCCGTAACTTGTCCCCCAACCCCTTAGGTTGTCACCAACCATCCGTGGGTGCCCACTGGAAGCCCAAGAACGACCAATGTGTGCCGATCGTGTGTTCAGACACGTTCAGACGCCCCTTTTTCCGGATGGCAGACTCAAGACGACCCATCTGGGACTGGAAGATTGACGTTGACCGTAGGCGGTCAACCAATGTGTAGGTATAGTAGTATAGGTGAGAATATCACAGTATATAGTAATGGCATACATATTATATATATGCCAGTCCCATAGAGTGTTTTGGGGTTGATTGATAAATCCTCCATATGCAGAGGTGTCACAATCCAAATGGGGGGCTATTCATCAACAGTCTAATGAAACGACCTGGAGAAAGCATCGACAAGGAGAAACATTTGGGCTGTCCATTTTTTCCTTCTCACTGAGGGTTTGAAGTATACCTGGCTGGGGACAATTGGATGTGAACGACCATTTTTGAGGTTGAACATTCTTGAAAAGTGAGTCTGTTGGAACTCTCTTGGCCCAGGTTGTATCAAGCGCTGCGACTTTCTGCGCAATCTTCATGACCTTGCTGGTGGTCCTGGGCGTTACATTCTTGTTTATCCATATTTTTATAGTTCCCTTGAGGTCCTAGATCTGGTCGTTTCGATCATTCGGGGCATTTTCGGAGGGCACCGAGGGCAACTGAAAGAAGAACGGATGCCGGCGTGCCCAGCTGCCTGTGTCACTCGTAGCCTAGCCTGGAAGTTGCTATGTCCGGAAGCCAAGCCTCGAAACCACCAAACCTAAAGGTTTTGGGGGGCCGTGAGCTTCTACCTACGGTTACCGTAGTCCATCCTTCAACTCCTGCCTTTTTGTGACTTCCGTGCACCTTCCAAGACATTCCAAGCCCCTAGCTGCTTGCTAGTGACGTCGAAAGGGATTCTGCACCGAACTCTTTTTTTTAATATAAGGGGCTCGTGAATGAACACTGACCATAACTGACCCCAAATTTGCCCCCACCAACCCTTACTTGCAGTCTTCACGGCGTTTGGCTCACGAGGAGTTCTTTTTTGTGATGATAAGCTATACACTTACGTGGAATGTTTCTCACGTGGAACGATCTGTTTGTGGGTGTGAGGCCGAGGGCGCACCACAATGATGAGTTCTACAAACCATTTAGTTGGACACTCCATGTATGCCGTATATGCCTACATTGGGGTGTTTTTGGGGGTCAATGTAGGCATATATGGCATACATGGAGTGTCTGGGATTTGTTGGACACATCTCCAAGTTCAGGCGCATCAATATCTGCTAGTCGACAGAGTGAAATAGCACAGTTTCTTATCCTGTTGTGACACTATATACTATCCATTACTATCCAAAAGTTGCTGACGGAGCTCCAGTTTCTCACAATCCTTCTTTCAAGGCTTTTCGTTGACTGGTCCAAATTGACATGTATATACTTGGAACCTGAACAACTGCGGTTTTCTTGTGGACCAACGACATCTCTGTTCGAGGCTGAGAGATTTGGGGAGGAATTCCAGTCGATTCGTGGTGCAATCCCACTGTAGTTCGATCATGCGCTGAATTGGTGGCAACTCGAACCCTGACCAGCTGGGTTCGTCCACTGTTCTCGTCCTCACTTGCTGGATGCAAAGTGTGCGCCATTACTATGCCGGTAGGTCAAGCTGCGCAATGGAGGCGATTGGGTCACATCGAAATGACTTTGTCCTTTGGCTTCCAACCACCACAATATACTTAAAATAGGCTGACTCCCGAATCAACTCAGGATTCTACACTACTACAAAACCAGGTCAACCATTTGGTTACGGTCGATCGGAAGTCTCGGGTTGTGGTGAAGCAGGGATATCGGGTGGGCGGGATACATCTATCGGGGACCGGCGCGGGCGGACGGAAGCAGATCGGCATCTGGTTCCAGAACTCCAGATCAAGAACTCGGTTGAATGTGTCCAAAGTCTGCTGGATGGAACTGGAGTCTGATTCCAGCTCCAGAATGTGTCCAAAGTCGGTTCAAGTTCGACCTGGAACTTTTGAAGACATGTGAGATGGGTGAATGGGACTCCTTCGTTTTTGCGTGGGTTTGCCGCATGCGGCAGACTCTGACCCACTGAGAGAAGAAGTGGATGATACATGATCATACATACGCTACTAGGGGCTCCTGGCATTACTACTAGTAACAAGAAGCTACTAGGGGCTCTTGGCATCGCTACCAGGAGCAAGATCATACTTGTAGGCCCCAGGAATAAGACCGCTCTACGAACAGGGAGATGCCATGCACGTCCATGTGGAACAGTGGCGTTCGTGTCGAGCAGTGAAGGATCCGCGGTTCGGTCGGACTCCGGTGCTCCGTTAGGCGGTCCTTTTGGAGTGGATATAAATAATCGGAGACGACTGCAGCTTTTTGGATCAGGAGAGGTACGAGTTCACCGTCATGGACACCATGATGGACACTGTCAAGTCACACCCCATCCATGCCAGTCACATTTGCTGCCGCAGTCACGGCACAGTCACAGCACAGTCACGGAACTTTGAAACCACGGAACTCGAGACATAGCACTTCTTTCTTACATATTGGAATATGTTGGAATGCTGGGTCTGTGATCTTCCCAATTTGGGGGTCTTGAGAAGTGTGAACAACATTGAAGAACTCAAAAGCAGCCAAATGCCTCCAGTGAACCGGGAGAGAGCGACGTTGTCTGTCTCTGGGTCTCCACACCCGCCGGATCGGCGGATTGGACGTCGGTGTCCAAGCTGCAGCGAGAGAGCGACTTTCAGGCGGTCCCCGGAGAGGGACTTTTCATTGGAGAGGGCGACGTCGACTGAAAGACCCGGCCTAAATGATGGATCTATAGCGAGCGAGGTAGCTCTTTGGGGGCTTTGATGGATTTTGCTAGAGGGCAGGGTTTTTTCTTCTTGGGGCCAGGCCCTGGACATGGAGGGGATCTCACGAAGGGCTCCTTCCCTCTGCAGTTGATGCATCATTCCTCCGTAAAAGGGAATGATGAAAACACTCATCTGTCTGTGTGTTTACAGTGGTTTTCAGAGTAGATGGCACAGACCCCAAGATGTCCGGACGACAGATGGGGGTCCATAGGACAACCTCTCAATCCACTTGGGGGCCCCTGCCATCTACGTCCTCTCAATCCACTCGAGACCAACCTCCCGGATCATCGCTTCGATCGACCCGTGGAGCGGCGATGCGGAGCTGGTGGTCTCGATGGCTCCGTTCCGACCGAACAGCGGGTGAACTCCACTTCCAGTTCCAGGGAGAGGACCTGATTAATGACATGCGACAGTCAGGTATGGTTGCAGGGTCCATGTCATGGCGTGAGATACAGAATTGAAGTGAATTTAACGCGCTAGCGACAGTCGGTCCTGCACCATGAAAGTCATGGGAACTTGCATTTCGATATCTACAATGGATCAGACATGTGCTCTGACCTCATGTACGCAGTGTGTGGATTTGCAGCCTATAGGTGCTATGGCCATAGTCCCTCCAATTGTTTGACCCGTGGAACATCCTCGATGAAGAAACTGGGGGCCGCAAAGAACCAAGAACTGAAGAGATGATACTGTAGACCTTTCTGCAGACCTTTTACCCATCCCCTCAAACTCCTGTAGCCAGGCAGTGGACGGTTTCCGACCGGCGACCGGACCAGAGGACGCACACATGGCCGGAGGACTCATGCTGATGCAAATGAGTTGAAGCCAAATCCACCTCCCCACGACCAATTCACGCCGCGAGAGGCGCATGCCGGCGCGAGCAGTTCGCGGCGCGAGCCGGCGAACTGACGCCGGCGCGAGCCGGTGTTACAAAGCCGACCGGTTCTCAAACCCCCCGGTTTGAGGCCATGGCTTCGTTTATGTTCTTGACCTTTATCAACAACATGAAGCCTGGCTACGAGGTGGACCTGGGACTCACCGTATGGGACTCGCGACTCACGACTGGGGTCACGGTGGCGGACGGAGGCTGAACATGGGCTGCGCGGCGCTTTTGTTGGACGGTGACAACGGTGCCAGGAATGGTGGAAGCAGTGGAGGCTTGGTGAAAGGTGCTAAGTTGAGCTTCAAGTTTCAGAGAGTATGCGGTCAACAGCGCTGAAGGGAATGAGTATCATTGAGCACTGTCGATGTAATGTGACACTATGGGCCGCAGTTTCCAAACCCCGAAGTGACATCCCCGCAAGACTCTTGGAGAGCAGAATCCCAAGATGTGTTATACAAGCCTTGCGGCACACCCCACTTCCTGAGCCATGACTCAGCGAGCTGAGCCAGCTCGTGTGTTTTATAAGGGTGGGCGGGAACTGGATGAAGAACCAGTAGCAGTAGCAGCAGCATGAGAAATGGCTCAAAACCTGGAGCCCCACCATGTAGCTTGAGCTTGCAGGTGGTCGGTCGTCTGTTCATGACCCAGGTGGTCAAGACAGGGTCCTCCTATTTTGACAATTTTTGACCCACATTTATGAGAACTGGTGGCTCATGAAGTGAGCAAGTGAGCAGCATGCTCTTCATCGATCTAGTTCTTTTTGTGCAGTTCTTTTCCATTTCATTCTTAATCATAGTCTCACTTCTTGAGAACGGACGCTCCGCCCCCATTCCTGCCCGTCTTCGCACGCGCTCCACCTCCGCGCACGCCAGAGCCGAGTGGACACTACGTGGGAGGGGCCCAAGTTGAAAAAGGTTTGGGCGGATATGGAGCACAAGTGCTGGGAGACGTGGGGGTCTCCCAGATCTGGGCGCGACAGTCGTGCTGTTGTCTGGGCACGATGGCTGGAGACCCCCGATCTCAGAGACACCAGATGGTCTGGTGAGATGAGCTGGAGTAGCGGGAAGACCCTTTGGAGAACTTTGGGGTTTAAGTATACTGTAGTTGTTTATAAGTTGTTGATGTTTAGTTTAAACATGTTTAAACTCTAATCATCTCTAATCCATCTTGGGGTTCACCATTCATGCAACATGCGACTCATGATGATATTCACCACTTCTGTTTGTGATGGATGCATACATGGCCACGTTTTTAGAGCTTAGGTGGTCCGGGAGCATGTGAAATACAGGCCTCCATGCGGCCTCCGAAACCCGACGGTTTTCCAAAAGGTCGAGGGGTTTCTGACCGCGCGCTGATTGCATCAGCAGGGTCAACCAGCAGGGTCACTTGGGTTTCTGGTGTCGTCCACTTGCGTTTTCGTGACCTGTAAGCAGCATAAGAAAACTATAATGATTGCATCGTGTTTTTCCATGGTCTCCCGGTCTCTTTCAACTGTGCGGATGCGTTTCTCAGTCGACCTCCATCGAGTGAAAACGGGACGGGAGGGTGGACCGGGCGATCGAAAATGACCGGACGATCGCTCGGTTCCACCGTTGAGGTTCACACGGGGTTTGGTAGGAGATGGTCTCGCCATCGGTCCGATGTTGATGTGCTCTTTCGAACCACAGCGATGCATCCACCGGATGTGGCTGAGGTACTTGGATGAAGCAAACGATGATTCCCAAGGAGTTACTTGGACCAGAAACTCTCCGGCGAGGTCGGACTTCTCACGCGTCCGCGGACGACCATGTGCATCGGAAGAGGGGCCGTTGGCCGCCCGGAAAAGAACGCAGGATGCAAACCGTTCGCTCTTCATTCCGCAGAAAAACCGGTGGACCTGGGTCCAAAACAGATCTCTACACTCAGATAAAGGAAACCTCATGATCCCATCATGATCCCATCACCATCCAGAGAATCCTCATGTCGTCTTTGCCGGATGTTCTCCAGACCTCTGCGATCTGCCCTCTGTCTCCATGGTTTGGATTGTCCCCAACTGAGGTTCACCCGTACCAGAAGCTCAAGAAAGAGGCTCGGTCGCCGGTCTGAGCCACCTCGAGCCGAATCCGATGGTCTGGTAGCCAGCAGAGTGGAGCTACTTCAACACCGAACCGCCGCACGAGCCAAGCTGAAAAACCGTTCGCTGGAGCAAGGCACAACGTTGCCGAGCTGGAATGTGTGGACAGATCCCAAAATGACACGGGGTGCATCGAAGCAGCAGCGTTTGGGAACCAAACCCACATGCCCTTACAAACTTGACCATGACATGACCATGATTCCACGTTTTACGGGCCAACAATGTCGACACCATCAAAAGCTCAGGCTCCCTGACTCCCTGCTCTGTCTCCGCTCCCTGTCTGCACAGGTTAGCCAATGTAAAGTGCTCATCAAGGAGGACACTCGTCGAGAAGTCCGGTGCCTTAGGACGGAGACAGTCGATCCCCGGTCGGTCCTCGCCGTGACAGACGTGTTTGGTGTGTAATTCATTTTGGGTGCTACGCTTTTGGTGTTTTTGATTGTGTTTTTTTTTTTTTTTAATTTTTTTAAAACTTTCCTAAAAACACATTTTTACGTCTATTTTTGGTTTACACCGTTTTGCCAAACGCTTTTGGTTCTTTGGTCACCATGGCTCACCCGCTCAGGACTGCACAGAGCTGGTCGCCGGATCTTAAAATCATCCTGCTCTAGGAATTGCAACCAGGGAAGAAGCCTCATCTTTGGAAGATTTTGGAACAAACGATGTTGATCACATCCTCCCTTGCGGTCGATGCCCGTCCACGGCAGGGTCGCGGTGAACGGTCCGCATCAGATCGATGTTGATCACAACATCAATTCTCCCAATTCGTTTTGGTGTAAATCATACTTTCCGCCGCATCTAACCAAAAGAACCAACGCGAGCGACGCTCTTAGCGTGCTTTCTTTCAGACCAACCCGAGCCCCCGTCGTTCTTCGCCGGCCGTGGCTGAGATTCTCCAAGACTGCACCCAGAGGATCGTTGATTTCGCCAAGGAGTGTGCAGCTGGGAGGCACCGGTGGACGGAACACGCTCTGGGAGACCGGTCCTTTGGTGGTGTCTGCTTTTTCCCCACCTGCCAGGTGAGGTTGTGAGATTTTATGAGAGCTCCTCTCCTCTCCTCTCCTCTCCTCTTCTCTTCTCTTCCCTTTCCTCTCCTCTCTTCTCCTCTCTTCTCCTCTCCTCGTCTCCTCAACTACCGCCAGCTCCAGATCCCAATGGGCTATACCTCAACTGCAAGTGCATGATCGCAGTGGGCACTACCGGACCTCAACAGCAAGCGCCAGATGGCAGTTGGTACTACCGGACCTCAGAAGCAAGCGCCATACCGCAGTGGGCACTCCCGGACCTCAATCGCCAGCTCCCGATCGCAACCGCCGGACCTCAACAGCAAGCGCCAGATCGCAGTGGAGGCCAGATCGCACTGAGCACTCCTGGACCTCAACGGGCAGCTCCCGATCGCAGTGGGGTCTGCCGGACCTGAACGGCCAGCTCCAGATCGCCAGATAGAAAGTCAGAATATTTGCCAGATAGAAGGACAGGTTGTATGCCAGGCAGAATGCTAGAGTATTTGCCAAGTAGAATGCCAGAGTATATGCCAGATAGAATGCCAGCAATGAAGCCAGATAAAATACAAGCAGTTATGGTAGATAGGATGCCAGCAGTTTTGCCAGATAGAACTCAAGTATATGCCAGATAGAATGTCTGACTTTATGCCAGATAGAATGCTCATGTCAGAGCACATACCAGGACTGAAGTTGGTCCATTTGTCACAGCACATGTCAGACAGCATAAATGTCAGAACACACGCCAAGAAAGATGTCAGAACACAGTCCAGAACGCTTCCCAGCCTTTGTGATAGATGATTTGTCAGAGCACAAGCCAGACTTGATGCCAGAACACGCGTCAAAACATCATGTCAATCCGCACAAATCGCCTTTCAGCATAGGGATCGCTCGAAGTAAAGTGATTTTTGTTTTCGAGCCGGAGGCAGGGCGTGTGTTTTGTTCTCTCTATAGTCAGAGAGATTCCGAAAACAAACATGTGGAGCGCCAGGCATGTTTTCTTGCTTCATGTGGGGGAGGATGGGAATTGGTTTAGTAATGTTTAGTAGAGTTTAAACGTGCTTAGTGTAGCAACCCTGTACTGAATGTTTGGAGTTGGATGTTCGAAACGATTTGGGAGTGTGGGGGTGGCATGCGGCATGCAGTTCAAATGGCACCTACTGCGACACCACGACACATGGTGCACAGATTGGGGATCATACTCAGTGGATATCATATACTCAGGTTACCCAACCAAAGATTTCTTCGAACAGAGAATTAATTTATACTGCAGTGGGTGTACGCTCCAGAAGAATCGTTTAAGGCTACCTTGGCAGTTTGGGGAAACAGTTACGATGTAGCTGGTGACAACGGTATCTCTTCTTTCGATGTCTGTTTTGTGATGTTTTGTGTATATGAATCAGGCTGTCCGTTTTTTCCCAGACGCAACTCCAAATAGTCCAATGTAGTCAACTTAAGATGTCGTAGGGTTTCAAACATCTCCCAGTCGAGCCCTGTTGTTGGGAGTGGCTCATTCGGCAGATCCATTCTTGGTTTCCCAACTCACTGGAGAAGCCTAGTCTCTCAGGCGGAAAGCCATGAGTTCGGTTCCTGCCAGTGGCTCCTCAAGTCGAGCACCAAGAAGAGAGACTTTTTTGTTGGAATCCTTGGGGGATGATTCATGCACAACCCTTTAGTTGCTAAAACCAAATACACCGTGAGACATGGACCAGATGGCCGTTTTTGAGGGGTTCCTGGTTCGAAGCCTTTTCTGCAGAAAAGCTGGACAAAACATTCAACAGCTGCAGAATTGGCGAATATTGCCATGCTCAGATCAGACTCAGTGACATGTGCGGTTGCTTTTCTTCCATCTCCGTCGGAACGCGTCGGGACCTTCACCCACGAGGTTGGGTAGCAAACATGCGGAAGGAGAGGAAAACACAATTCAGAGAGGAAATCCTTATACAAGAGCTTGATTCCACTGGTCACCTGGTGGTCCCCGGAGCCACTTTGCTGTAAATGCTTTGCAGAGTGGGTCACGAAGCTCCAAGAAGCCGAGGTCGGGATTGAGCTCTACCCGTGTGGGCCAGGCATTGCTGGGATCCTGCGATAGGCTGCACTGCCGATGATGCCAATGATGCCAACCTGGTTTCACTTGGGCTGAAGTTTCGACCATGATCTGACAACTTCAAAAATACTGAGGAGTTGATATCTGATGGATTTCCGTGGCTTACTCGGACTATTTAGGTGATATGGGACGCCACGGTTGAGGTGTCAGCAGTATCCTCGTTTGGACCCTGAGGAAGAATATACGTATAGACCAAAGTGTTTCAAAGGAATCCTGGAATCCTTCGCAACCTTAACCTGAACGGCGAAAAAAGAGACTATCTGCATTGATTGCGGTCTACTCTCTAGTGCTGTTTTCGGGAGCAAGTGATGCTATCTGCATTTTTTCGGTGACTGCCACCGCTCGTGCCACCGCTTGTGCCGTCCACTTCCGCGGTGGAGCAGAGCGATTATGCACCGGTGGACCGTCAGTGGAGCGAGGTGACGCCTCCTCCTTTTCGCTCTTGGACTCGAAGAGCAGAGCTTGAGTCCATCTCTTGGGTCAAACCTGACAGATAGGTCAAACATGGTCAAACATGGTCAAACATGGCCCCGCTGCGGTCCGGTTCTGGGTTTAGGGTTTAGGGTCCCTTCCTCTGCAGGTCAGCTCTGCGGCGACGCGGCGTCTGGATGCTTTGCCCTTGCGAAAAGAGAGAGGAGGAGCTTGGTGACACTTTGTGTGGGCGGTATGGCCCCCGAAAGGAAGACGATGTTCTGCCCAAAAGGGGGGTGGAACACAGGGATGAACTCCACTTCCATGATTAGTTGGGGGGAAGGGTATTGTTGTTGAACATAGTGCACTCACCCAGTGTAGCATGGCGAGAGGACGAAGCATTTTTCTCGAACATGGTGGTGAAACGGCCTTTCTATGTTTGTTCAGCGGCCGTTTCAAGGACCTCACGGCGCTTAACCTTCGGAGGGATCCAGTAATCTATGAGAACTCCACCAAGCGCCATGAAGGTGGTAGACTGGCAGTGGCATGAAATGGCCCCCCATCAAGGCGAAATCACCTTCAGATGAACTCCACCACTTCATCATCTTCATTCTACCGATGACCTGGTTCCAACTCGATGGTCGGATTCTCGCTGGATGGGGCAAATGCCAGCGCGGGCAAGAAGATGGATTTCACGGTCGTCAGAGTTGTCAGAGTCCACCTACCTCTCTTTTTCCAGATTTCAATCACCGGACCACCTGAGAAGAGGTGAAGAAAAAACATCACATGGAAGTGGTCCTAACAACGTCGCCTTGGCATCACGATGTTCCTAACAACGAACATGGTGAGATGGTTTTCCAATCCACGCCGCTCACTGTAGACTGCTCGTTTGTTTCTTCCGTCCCTCGGTGAGATCCGTCGCGTCGCTCCGCCACGACGCGATACGTGTGTGATACGAAGGTCTCAAGCTGTTTGCGGCTGTAGGGTGAGCATCATGATAGTCAGAACATATGAAATAGATGAAACTATACTCAAGCTGAGTACGCGCTACATATGTGACATGATGGGACTTTTCACTGGTACAAAAGCTAATATCAGATGCACCCTGCACATATCCATCTTTGGGGATCACACCAATGTCAGGATATTTGCCCGCAGGTCCACCTCTAATCCAGAGGTTTGGTCAGGACAGTAGTATTCCAGGGGCCCATGCCATCCACTTCCATGCGATTCGATGTAAACTCTTTTCTTCAAAACAGAACGTCCCGTGGTGCACACCGCGTGGGTTCCAGTACATGTTTTGCCCGGATTTGGGGCTGGAAAGGGGAAGATTTTTGAGATCTCTTGATGTCTTGCAAGCTTTTTTTTTGGTTGAAACGGACATGATACATGATACATGCTACCAGCCGGAAACACTGCCCCTGCCCCCCCTGCAACGGATCGACGGATGCGAGATCCAGATCGCTTGGATGTCTGTCCTGCCACATGGGTCAGCGATCCGACCAGTCTTCCTGACTGAAGCCTTTTGGTTTACAAAGATGCTGCAGCTCCAATTTGATCCACTTCTTTTTGTTGCGAAGTGTGCTCTGCACTGGCATTGCAACATGGCAAGGGTCGGTGAAAACAGGGGACCTTGGTGAATCAGCAAAAAGGAACAGAATTGATACATGGTCAACCTACCAGGGTTTGGAGCTTCAGGTTTTGACCCACTGCCAAATCAGCAAGTTCTGTCTATCCACTTCCTCTCTTCTCAAGCAACGTGGCATTTGGTTCCAATGGCGAATGGAGGAGGGCCCTCCAGGTGGCGATGCTCTTCCTGGTCTTTGGTTGGATCTTCGTTCAGGGTGTGGGTTGGAGTGTAGATAGAAGATGAAATGTTTCGGAAAGGATGTCCCACTTTCCAAGATATGCCTACTCCAGCACCACCAAAAGGGTGGTGTCTAGACCCCCCCTGAAGATGTATTTGCTGTCCAATCACCATCCGAACTGGGTGGTGCTGGCTATTGCTTATTTGTTCTTTTCCAGCTTGCGAACCGATTTGATGTCCTTCCTCAAAACCCGCACGAACACGGGCGAAGACGTGCCGTACCGGAAGGGAAGCTCGGGCGTTCACCAGCTTGCCGCCTGAAGCGTCGGACGGAGCCATCTTGGCCGTTTTGGCTTCCAAGCACCACCATGAATTTAATAGGCCGTATCCCGAAGCAACTAAGGATTTTACACTACAAAAACCAGGTCAAACATTTTTGATCATTTTTGTGAATGGTCTTGGAAGTCTAGGGTTTGTGTTACCCAGGTCTCAAGTGAAACATGTCGACTTGGACCAGGTTCCTATGGCCGGAAGTGACCAAGTTCCCAAGTTCGCTCATCGCGGTGCTTTTTTGGTTCGAAGATGTTCGAAGGATTCTGCTCAATCTTTTCACAAGGGCAACATATGTTTTTCGTAGTATCCAAGAGTTGCAAGGGTCCCAAGGTGCATTTTTTGACTATTGTTACATCCCCCGTGATGTTGTTGCATCCTGCCAGGCCTTACCACCAGACGAGGGGGATTTTCTTACCACATATGTTGTTTCCTTTTTCTCTTTGGCACTGAAGAATGGGAGAACGCACCCTGCGGGGGTCCTTGACCGAGACGGCCTTCCCTGGAGGCCCAGACGAGAGGCCCCTGGCGGCATCTCGGCTGAACGAACGGCGTGGGTCGCCGCTGCAGGTGATGCCAGTCGTATCGAGTGTGGCAAACGAGGTGAGCTAAGCTCGTTCCGTGAAGACATGGAGTATATAGCACTTCGGAGAATGTAAAGAAATGGCGGAGTAATTGTTTCCTTAAGGCGAGCGGATTGTAGGATGGGGTGACTGCAGGTAGTGTAACAGTGTAGTAGCATAGCCGGAACTGTGGAAGTCTCGTCGAACATGTTGCAATCATCCTCCCTCTGGCACCAAGACAATGATTTCCGCGGCTGAGCCAACTACTGGGTGGTGTGTAGTCTGAGGGGCGGGCAGCCCCAAGCAAACCACCAACACAACATCCGTTTTGTGCACCACAAACTGTCACTGTGACTGTCCGATGGTCACTGGAAGTTCCACTTTCAAGCAGGGCATGACTGTCCGGTAGGGTCTATCGGTCTCAGGTGAACGGAGGGCCCCCCCTCGCTCCCGCGCCAGATACAAAAGACCAACCTGGATGGCCTCAGGTCACGATTGTGACGCTGGATTACTATTTGGCCAGGTGCGGACTGATGAGTTATGTCTCTTCTTCACGGGTTTGTCCTATATCGGAGAACCGTCAATCTATACTTGTACCTTGTACCATCTTGTACCACTGCCAGGCAAAATTGAGAGCATCCTGTATATATATATATATATATGCGGACACATGTGGGAAACCCACCTGATACATGGTCGGTCGTGCACCCGTGCATGCGCTCGCGGCGCATGCGCTCGCCTTCAGGCCAGGGCCCGGAGATTCCACCATCTCGAGATGCACAGGCAGAGCGTGTGGGCCCGGAGTTGATCCTGTCGGGCATGGATCTGGATCCGAGGGCGTTCGAGTCGGTTGATTCGATCGATCGATTTCAGATTGTTGGACATATCTGTTCGCCTTTTTTGGTTCGTTGATCTGTTTTTTGCTGGGTGGCTAGTGATGCTTGAGCCTTGGACATGAGGATTTGTTTGGGAACATGCACCGTGGCTTGAGATGCATTACACGTGCTATTAAGTGCTTCTCTTTGAGACACCTTGGATTTGAAAAATTGTTTGTTGATCCTCTCGCACGCGGCTCTCTCTCGCGTCCTCAAGGCCACTTGGAAAAAGAATCAATTAAAAGAAGCAACGTCTGAAGGATTCTAAAGGTCTGATGTAAAAGAAAGCACCACACCACACATTGAACAAAAGTGTCTAAAGGACTCTTTCCTAGTCAGTAGATGTGCTAGAAGGCTTCATGAAGGCTTCATAGCTAGACGGAAGGCAACATAGCGAGACAGAAGGACAGAGAGACAAAGACATACAAGTGCGTGGCTAGACACTTATATACCGTAGGACCGACAGCCCTACAGGACCACAGGCGTTCTGGGGTGTCACGGTTGTTCTGACCACAGTAAAAAGTACCTGCATGGTGGTTTCAGATATGGTTATTTTCAACCTTTACTTGGGGTGATTGAGCCCACAGACTCATAAATTTTCAAGTGAGTTGAAACCACCAATCAGGTATCTTGGAGTTGATGCGCGAAGTTGATGCACCATGCTCCGCGTCGGCTTCTTCGACACGGTCTTCTTCGCCTTGAGGCAAAGTGCTAAAGCAAGTGCCAGCCGCAGGCCTAGGTCGACCTTTTCAGGACCTTTTCCACATATCTTCGTGTCATTCCCACCAATCTTCCTGCGATGACTTGTGAGAATGACTGACCTGTGGGGATGACTGACATGTGGGCCGAGCCTGTGGGCCGAGCCCTGTGAGCGACACGGTCGCACCGGAGCTCGCTCCTCAGCGGTGCGGGACGACGGTTTTTTTGGGGGTCTCAGCTCGGACGGGACATTGGGACAGAGGTCATGGCAGCCATGTCAAAGAACAACACCAGCCAGGAGTCACAAAGGGGTGTTCTTTTTTTGTGAAATAATTGGCTCCCAGTTTGGCTCCCCTATCCTTCAATAGGCAGCCCCTTTGTGGTTGCTGCTTGATGGTGTCTTCTTTTGTTTTTCCAGAAGCACTGGTCAAGCAGAAGCTCCGCAGAAGCTGTGTGTTTTGCCCTCCGAGGTGATCCGCGTCTTTGGTCACACGGTGACCGGGCAAAGCGCGTGTGGCTTGGAGTGTGTACCGTTAGGGGGGGTTGGACGACGAAACGATGGGAGAAGGGCGGGGAGCAGTGAGAAGCAAATTATATACTTTGATGCGCCTCAAAATGCGCCTCAAGAGTAAGAACACCTGCAAAGACCGCTGATAAACACAAGGAACAGCGATCTGACAGCTCGGAGAAGATCTGCAACCCACAACTTCCCCCCCCCCGAGCAACGAGGTGTGTTGTTCCCTCCAACACCTCGCATCTGTCACACCTCGATGACTGCAGGTGTGCACGTCCACGGCGTGTTTCCCTTCTTCTACATCCAGGCGGGCGCCCAAGCTCGTGCTTCGACTCGATGGGCTGCTTCTACCTGAGAGGGCTGGGTAGCATGACCTGTGGACCTGTGGACTTCAAGCGCACTGATCTGGAGAGTCCCAGTGCAGGAGTTCAAAAACTTAACATCTAAATTTGGGTCTTCCTAATGGGTATCTTGGAATGTGACTCCACGCTCTATCGAGTGCAAGAATACCTGTCTTACCAGGAGTTCCATGTCGAATGGGGTTTGGACCCCTCCAAGAAGCCATCCCCCAATCTTCAGTAGAGGCCTTCTCTAATTCCGACAGGGTGCGACCAAAGGTATAGGCGGTATAGGTACCGTGGAGTGGGAATGAACCTCTAGATCCCTCAGGATGCATTGCCTCATTCCATGCACTCAGGATCACCAGTCATTTTATGTTCACCGGACAGTCGTGCCAAAGCTCAACACCGGCAGGTGCCCCCGCATCTGGTGGACACAGATGCGCGTCCAGAGGCACCTCGATGGCTAGCTGCTAGCTGTCAAGCGGGTGCCTGTTGAAGGATAGGGGTGCCCATTGACCCAACACCACCCCTTTCCTGACTGCTGGATCTCTTTTGTTGATTTCCAAGCTATTTTTTGAGCAGTGAGTCCCTGCTGTAACGCCCACTGTAATGTATATAGACTCTTGATGATATCTCAACCCCGCAGGCTTGACGAGGTTTGCCAATCAAAGAGTCCGGCGGTTTTGTAATCAATCAGTCTACCCATCAGTTCCAAAGGGGTGCCAAACTTGAAGGACAGGGAAGTCCAAACCATCCACTCAGTGGATGGGACAACGAAGACGCCCCGCGACATGTGACTCCTAGACGCTAGACGGTCGGCGACCAGACGGTCGGCGGTCAGACAGGTGATGAGAGACACCGAGCAAGTCTCAGGGTCAAACTGAAACACTTGGTTTAGGATGGTTTAGGGCTCCAAAAGGCTCCAAATACCTCCCAAGATGGTCAAACTGAAGTGGCTTTGGAGGGCCTAAGTACCTTCTAAGAGCCCGACTGGGTTGATTTAGCATACTGTACAGTACATGGTGTTTGCTGGTCCTCAGGAGGGCGACTGAAGTCGTATAGGTTTCGCTGTTTGATCTCCTAATTCTGTTGGGCTCTAATTACCCCCTATAAGAAGAATACTTTCGGGTCATTCTTCTTTCGGGATAATGTTTTGACATGTTCTTGGGTGATTCTACCCCCTATCACCTCTTCTTTTCTGGTGAACTTAGCAGCCAGCAAGTAAAGAAGATTTATCAGGTTTTGCTCAGGGTGATTATTTGTGTTCTCCATATTTTCCCTACCAGCACCTTCCAACAGGTCTCCTCTGGAGGCTTTTCCTGACCTAAAAGTCGCAGGTGGTGACCTGTTGGAAGGTCCTGGTATATTTTTTCCTTTCTTGAGAAGTGTTTGTTTATTCTCTGACGGCACCTGCCGACCGTAACGTGCCGGCTTTGGTGAGTCCATTCTTCAAGCCTCCAAAAAGAAGCTCACGCAAGCATCGAAGTTTGGGTTCATGTCCAGGATACACCTCACAATGAACTTAACATGCCCCCCCCCACAAAAAGGGTAAACACCCACCACGTTTACCAACCAACCGTGATCATCTGACTTTGGGTGACGGCACCGATGCCATTCACCTCCGCACCTCCACGTCGGTGGCAAGGCCTTTCTGCACGACCTGGCCGAAGCCTTGGAGAAGGCGGTCGGACCGAGCCGCACGACGTGAGGACCTGAACGACCTGTGGGGACCCCGGCCATGGCTTGTGATGGCTTAGAATGGATGGTTTTGGATGGCCAATGGAGGTCTGGACGACTGGACATCAACAGCTGCATGACATGTGACATGACTGTTGCATGGCCGGACCGGAATTTGGATGAAATGACATGACTGACATGACTTGAACAAAGAGATACGCATGAGGTCTCCACAGTGATGGCTCCGGCAATATCCCAAACTTCCTCAAAAGAGGCTCTTTCGCCAAGCCTTTTGGCATCTGCAGCTTCCGTGGTAAGAAGCTTTGCCCATCCCACAACTAGATGAGACTGGATGCACTGAATAGAACCACCCTGTCTGTCGGCTTCTTGCGCATGCTCATGCATGCGCTCGCCAGGCCATGTGCATGCACCAGAGCGCGCCGCGGCTCTCAGGATGTGTGTGATTTCATGAACAGCCATGGAGCAACTCAGCGAGCGCCCAGTTTTTTTGGAGAAGAGGGACCTTAGGACGAGACTAAAGACATCCGCTACGGCAGGCGAAAAACAAGGAGAGCAGAGGGACCTTGGATTCTGAAACCTGAGCTTTTCGGGTTTTGAAACCTTCTTCCCCGCCGAAATGCGAGGATTCTGGGAGCTGCCGGGCCTTCAACAAAACTGCCCGACTCAGTTGAAGAAGAGGGATAGATCGAGCAATCCAAATATTTAAGGGCTGCCGCCCCTGCCGCCGACCCCGGGACTCAACTGCAGCTTGCGCTCGCCAAAAAGCTATGGTTCAGGTGACTACGACAGAAATTCCGAGACCGGTTCAAGCCTCCCATGGTCGCACTTTGGGTGCCAAACGCTGCCTCTGAAAAAAAGAAGTTTCTTTCCATTTGTCTCGGTCATCTTGGCCCCGAACACCTGGTCCCGCCACAGCTTTTCCCAATCTAATTCTGCTCCAAAACGAGCCGCCCATGGTCGCACATTGGGTCCCAAACGCTGCCTCTGAATCCCTAGAAAAAAAA